CACACACACACACACACACACACAAACACCCGAAAAAGAAAGACTAGAAGGGAGAAGTATGAGGCAATGAAGAGCTAAGATTTCTGAGCCAAGATTAAATTTTTAAAAAGGCAATAACTGTAAAACACATAAAAGGTCAGTAAATATAAATGCCATCTATTTCCCACGTTCCCTGAAGTCAATGCTGAGAGCAATTTATTGTGCTGATATAATCCAGGACTCCTTCACTATGTTGTAATAAACTCACCACTCTCCAACTCCCAAGTTCTCTGACCTAAGTAGGATTGACTCTAACTCCACTTCCAGAAGTAGTTGTCACTCTGAACAGCCTGTCTCTCCTGCCATTGATACAAAGATAAGAAAGTAATTCACATAGACATATTCAGAAGAATTTTGCTGGGGTTTGTAGACAAGAAAAATTATGAAGAGGGCTGGGAAGGTGGCTCAGTGGTAGAGCGCTTGCCTTGCATGCATGAGGCCCTGGGTTCGATTCCTCAGCACCACATAAGCAGAAAAAAAAAGCCGGAAGTAGTGCTGTGGCTCAAGTGGTAGAGTGCTAGCCTTGAGCTGAAGAGCTGAGGGACAGCGCCCAGGCCCAGAGTTCAGGCCCCACAACCGGACCCCACCCCCCAAAAAAAAATTATGAAGAGCAGTTTCACAAGTTTGAGAAAATTGAGATAGATTCAAATAGTCTCCAGAAAGCATTTCCCATTATATAGTATGAATTCCATACAAACCTGCTATGTGTGGAAAGACAGCATAGCATGAGGTTAAGAGCACAAACTATAGTTCAAATTATAGCCCTTTCTCCTAATCCTAACTGAAAGACCCTAGTCCCCTAGGATACTTTCGTCAACGGGAGGGCGCCCCAGAAAACTCAGACTCCAGGCCGGGAGATGCAATAAGCAAGAGGAGTTTGACCTTTGCGCAAACGGACTCTCTGTCCCGAGCAGACAGGGAGCCCCGAGCAGAGGTTACAAGCCCTTTTTAAAAGCAAAAACCACAAGATTAACGCATAACACAAAGCATCCCATGATTGGTCCATTTAAAGGTCACCATATACACCAACAATCACTTTGCCACGCGGGAAATTTTGTAACACTCTTTGTAAAATGACTGGCCCATGGTTGGTCTAAGGGGAGGTTTACATGGTTACAGGCCTATGATTGGTTGACGTTTGGCTTAGCTTGTGGTCTTGCCAGGTGGTCGTTATCTCAAGGTCCTGTCTGGGGAATTTCTAAATGGGATCTGAGGAACACGTACTGTCTGTTTTTTATCTACAACTACTGACCTGGTCCTGGGACTGGCATCTGGTCTCTGAAACTTCTTAACTCATTTCTGGGAAGGGAAGGGTCAATGCTAGCGTAAGCAAGTTTACAGAAGCAGAATCAGCAGTTAGCAAGTTAGTAATGGTAACAGTCAATTTTTAATCTTTCACTAACTACATCTTGACATGTATTACCTTGGGTAAATCACTTCAATTCTTTATGATTTAGTTTCCTCATCTACTAATAATAACAACCCACTTGGTAGAGTTAAGACTTAAATGAATACATGAGAATTACTCAGGACATTGACTGGCATAGGTAAATGCTATATAAACATTAGCTATTATTGTAAGTTAAGTGAGTTAATAAGTGGAAAGTGCTTACAATAATGCCTGACCTGCCAGGTGCTCACACCTGTAATCCTAGTTACTCAAGAGACAGATCTGAGGATCACAGTTCAAAGCCAGCTGGGGAGGAAAGTCCATGAGACTCTTATCACCAATTAACCACCAGAAAACTGTAAATAGCGCTGTGGCTCAAGTGGTAGAGTACTTGCCTTGAGCTGAAGAGCTCAAGGACAGCACCTAGGCCCAGACTCAAGCCCTATGACCAACCAACATAATAATAATAATAATGCCTGACACAGTGAACTCTATATTAATATTAGATTGCTATAGGGTATATATGTATTAGATTATCCATTCATTCAGCCACATAATAAATATTTATTAGGTGCCTTTTCTGTGCTAGATCACTAAGGTTAGTCTAGTACTGTCTAACAGAAATGTAATGTAACATAAGTGTGAGCCATGGATGCAATTTAAAATAGCTAGTAGGCTGGGAATGTGGTTTAGAGGTAGAGTGCTTGCCTAGCATGCATGCATGAAGTCCTGGGTTCCATTCCTCAGTACCACATTACACAGAAAAAGCTAGAAGTGGTGCTGTGGCTCAAGTGGTAGAGTGCTAGCTTTGAGTGAAAGAAACTGAGGGACAATGCCCAGGCCCTGAGTTCAAGCCCCAGGTCTGCCAAAAAAAAAAAAAAAGTAAAAAAAAAAAACCTAGTACTTATATCAAAAAGGTTTAAAAAAAAAGGTAAAGTTACTTTGAATAATTTATTTAAGCCATTATCCACAATATTGTCATTTCAACATTTCATCAATATGAAAACAGATGTTACATTAATCTTTTTTTTTTTGGGGGGGGGGGTCAGTTGTGGGGCTTAAACTCTGGGCCTGGGTGCATCCCTCAGCTCTTCAGTTCAAGGTAAATGCTCTGCCATTTGAGCCACAGCACCACTTCCAGTTTTCTGGTAGTTAACTGGAGATAACAGTCTCACTAACTTTCCTGCCCAAGCTGACTTTGAACTGTGATCCTCAGATTTCAGCCTCCTGAGTAGCTAGGATTATATGGGTGAGCCACCAGCGCTTGGCTTTACCTTTAAAAAAAATATTTTTCAGAAGTTTTTGAACAATCACATACCAGCCATCTCTGAGGAAGCAAACCTGAAAGTGTGTCAAAACTATTTTTCTGCTCAAAAGTTTAGGAACCTACTCTGAAAGCATAAAACCCTTACTCCATTCCTTGGACCGGGGCCAGTAGGAAGTAGCCAGAAAAAACACCACCACACACTCATTTTTATTGTGCTTCCAGAGTTAAGAATGATGGAGAATGACAAAGTCAAAACACTCACCTCGCCCCCTCACTCAATCCATAAAAACTGCCCTGCTGCAGACCTTGTTGAATATGAATTGTCCCTCTTTCCAGACACAGCAGTTTTAAGAGATAACCTGTGAATGGAAGGCCCAATCATTTGTTGACTTGTAAAACAGACACTGCCCTAAATCTCAAGATAAGATTCAATCTGTTCTCACCCTGCCTTCCTTTCTGTGACAACGACCCCAGACCCCTGCCCCACCTGACTTCACTCACTCTGCCTAACTAAAGGAGACCTCAGTTGTAAGAGAGTATGTCATTGTCTCTCCAGTCTGTCTGGAAGACTATGCCATCCCTCTCAAATCTGTTGGGTCTGTTAAGTTCATTTTCTGCTCTTTCTTTATTCTAATACCATCATGGCTAAGTTTCCTAACAAAATTTCATCTCTCAAATCAACATGAAATTAAATCATCATCTCAGAGTGTCTATGGATTATGCTTGTAATCCTAGCTGCTGAGGAGACTTGAAACTTGAGGATTGGGGTTCAAACAAGTCAGGCAAGTCCTTGAGACTCTACTTTGCAATTAACCACAATGAAGCAAGAAGTGGAGCTCTGGCTCAGGTGGTAGCCTTGAGCTCTTTAGACTAAGGGAGCACTCAAGCCCTAGAACTGGCACACACAAAAATAAACACCACCCTGTAAATTCTAGGCATTCACATATACAATCTTAACTAACCTATTTTGTAATTCTCCAAATGTAATTTTCATGTTTCCTTTAGAAAAGGTCTTTTTCCCAATATAACAAGTAGCTTGAGGGATTCTCAGAAACAAAGGTCCCATGGTTTCCCTTATTTACAATAACTAGTATAAGTTTAGGGCAAGCAGAAAAGGTCAAAAGCTATGTACATATAACCAGATAAGATGATGTTAAGCGAAATGAACCCCAAGATAGGGACACAAATGTTTTTTTTTTTCTTACTATTGTTTTTAATGTATTTATAATGTACTATGTGATTTTTTTTGTTTTGTTTCTTTGGTATGTCCCTCCCCTCACGGTATTACCCGTTTTCACTGTATTTGATTGCAGTGCCCTGCATCTTCTATATACATTTTTCTAATGGGGGAGGAGGGGAAGGGAAAAAACAAAATGTTTAAATAGGGATACAGGTTGACCCACTGTAACAATGAGATGTGCAAGATCTCATTGAGGTGGGAGGTGGGGGAGTAGTTGGGGAGATAGGGAAGGAAGGGATGGTAGGGGAAAAACAAAGGAGGAGGCATCAATGCTCAATAGGAAATGTACTCATTACCTTACTCATGTAACTGTACAGTATTTTTACAATAAAATGTATTTTAAAAATGTAAAAATTTTTTTTTAAAAAAAGTCTGGGACTCTACACAGGTAAGCACCAACACCTTGAACTTAAAGAATGCGATGGCCAGACTTCACGTGACGGGGGCAGCAGGGAATGGGGTCCATATTTCGTGAACGTCGTCGGCACCCAATTAATTCAGGTGTCACCCCCACAATCCCGACAAGCAGCAGCCAGTACTAACACGCGGAGGAAAGCGTCGTGCTGTCCTCAAAGCTCCTTGACTGCGGAACCCGGCGCAGAAGGCTGGCGTCAAAGAGAATGAGCACTAGTCGGAGGGCCGCAGCGGAGACGGCTCGGAGGCGCGACCACTCGGAGCTTTACGGTACAGACACCACGTGACGCCAAACTTCCGCCCCGAGACAGTAACAGGTCTGGAAAGTTCCGAAGGAGTTTAGTCCTGTCAGCGTTCTTCAAGGCTTGCCTACCCGGACAGAGTATTTGACTCTCCACTAGAAAGCGGCTCCTCGCCCTCGCTCGCCACAGGTGCAAAGCAGCTCCACAGCCTCCACTTTCAGAGACGTGCGGACATGGCGCGCGTGGTCACGGTGACGTCACATCCGGTCGCTTACCACACCCACCTCCACCTGAAAGGAAGTTGAGTGCGTGACCTGGCAAATCTCCAATCCGGAACGTGTTTCCCAAGCAGCCAATGGGTGGCCCAATCGTGGCCTGTGACGTTTTTAGTGGGCGGGGCGCTAACCTAGGTACGGAAGCCGAAGGAGGAGTTAGTTGTTTTTGTGTGTGTGTGTGTTTGTGTGTGTTGGGTTTATTTTGTGTGTGTGTGTGTGTGTGTGTTTTTAGCCAACCGGAAGCTGGGAGCAAGATGGTTTACATCTCGAATGGTGAGTTGGAGGTGCTGCGGGGGGCGATCTCTGGGACCTGAGAGGCTAGACGCTCGCCGAGCCCGGTGCTTGGGGGGTGACTTTTCCCGGCACCAGTGCCTAGCGGCCCGGCGGAGCCCGAGGCGAGGTCGCTCGGGCCTCCGGCGCGTCGGCTTCTGGTCCCCGATCCCTTCTGGGCACTGATTGGTACTGAGCTCGCTCGCTTTTTCTTGTTGGGAAAAGTGGGCTTTCCTTCCTCTCAGGTGCGGCCATCCTTAATTACTAGTGAAAACCCCCGTAGACCCTGTGTACCTAGCGCTTTGGGTTGGGCGCTGGCAGAATTGGCTTCTTTCGATGAAGAAAGTGCAGATCGCTTCAATTGCTTGCTCAGTCAAGCCAAGTGGGCTGGCGTCGCCGCTTTGTTATTAACTGTATTGCCTCGTTCTATGGCCTGCAAGGGAAAAGAATGGAGTTGAGCTAAGATGAGCATTAAAGAACAACTTTGGATGAGCTTTTCTCCCCCCAAGAGCGTAGCTAGTCATACATGGTAATATTTTGCCCAAATGTCAAGGAGCTCAGGGAGAAAGTTCATCCACGAGCAGCAAGTTGAATATTACTGGAATCAAAAATCTTAAGAGGGTCCTAATAGTATGAATTCACAAAGAAAATAACTGGAAAGGAATGACAGCGTGAATAAGTCAGACCAGCACTGGAACAATCTGTTTTCCTTAAATGAAATTCCTTGGTGTTGTCTTAGCAAATAGTTCTTAGATTACTGGAAGTAAATGCTAGTTCCGTTGGAGTCCTGTGTGTATCTCGAGTCAATTGAGGACCTCAGTTGAGTGTATTTTTCATTCCTTTCAAAAACCTCATCTCCCACCTTATTTTGTTGGTAGTAATTCTTTTCCATTTTTATTAGCATTAGTTAGTTGTACGAATTTGTAAGGGGTTTAAATTAAATTGCCATTATAATTATTTTCCATTTTTATTAGCACAGTTGTATAAGTGTGTGGAGGTAAGTTCTTTCTGACATATCCATATATGTATAGTGTATCTTGATCTCACACCAGCTCTGCCACTCTCCTTCCTTTCCTCATCCCCTTCCCAAACCAGTTTCAGCAAGCTTCATTATTTCATTTTTACACATAATGATCCCATATTCACTCTCACCCTTTCTGTTCACCCTCCTCATTCCACCAGTTTTAGGGCTTGGTTTACATTCCTGTCACTCATTTTTAAAGGGGTTTCATGATATTTCACACATGGATACACAGCACTTTAGATTGACTTTTTAGATTACTCTAGCTGTCCCTATTTCCTCAACACAACTATTCAACAACTTTTCAATGACGATAGTTTTACCATCTTCCTTAGATAAAATGTGTCACAGATACAATCCTATTTAATCTCCCATTTTCTCTTAACTTGGGCACTTGGAAATTTTAGTTTGTGTTTCTATTCTTTGTGATTAAGGCTGGTAGCTTCTATTTATGCATTATTAAATACCTTATTTGTAAAGTGCCTTAATATGTGTGCATCATCTTGTTTGAGCCACTTAAATCCTGTTAAGATCTTTTATTTTGCACATCTCAGCCTCCTGAGTAGCTAGGATTACCTGCACCTGGCTAAAGCTGTTCTTTCATACAGATATTCTGGCTTCTTGATTTTGCAAGGCTGAAACTATAGTACTTTTTGTGTTGTGTTTCTCTTTAAAAATAGAATCAGTTTTGCTTGACATAAAACTGGAATCTATTCGATCAGGAACATCCTGTTAAAATAGTCATTTTACTGAAGAACCAGTTCTCTTCAGTACTTGTAGCTAAGAGACACTTTGATTTATAAGAATTTGTCAAAATAATTCTAAAAAGAGTATATATGATCTTTTTGCCTTACAACAAGCAAGGACTTTGCAATTGAAAAGAAGTGCTCTGAATACAGTTAATGGAAGCAGAGGTATAACCACCCCTTTATGTTCACCCAGCCCATTTATTTCTAACAAATGCTTGAGTAAACAGATGTATGCCCATGTTTATAGCAGTGTATTTCAAGGGTTCATTGACAGATGAATAGATAACAAAAATGTAGTGTCTCTGTCTGTCTCTCTTAAACACTCACATATACACACACAGGAGTATTAGTCCATCTTTACGAAGGAAAGAAAATTTTACATACCCTAGAGTGTGGATGAACCTTAAAAAATTATGCAAAGTAAAATGAGCCAATCATAAAAAATAGAAATTGGTTCCTGTTATATGAGACTCTTTCCATAATCAAATTCAGAGTTTAATGAGTTTCAGCTGGGCAAGGTGTCCACTTTAGAAGTAGATGGTGATGATATCAATACAACTAGGTGAATGTATTTATGCCACACAGCTTCACACTTAAACTTAATTAAAATAGTAATAGTAAATTTTATAAAGTAACCACTAAAATGTCAGCAGTGTCAGGCACTAAAATGTTTTATTATGTTATGTACATTTTACCAGAGATGTGGGCAGGAAGGAGGATGGGCATAGTATACTTATTCTTACATTGACTGGAAAAAATCAATACTTTGAAACCTGTTTATTATTGTTAACTTATTAATCTCTTTGGATTAGAGATTTGTAGCACTCAAGATGCTTCTTTATTCTTGTCTATAGGGCAAGTGTTGGACAGCCGGAGTCAATCCCCATGGAGATTATCTTTGATAACAGATTTCTTCTGGGGAATAGCAGAGTTTGTTGTTTTGTTGTAAGTATAATAGTGCTCAATTGAGCTAATCTCTTACAGAATTAACATTAGATATATTATATGTTGGTTATGTGGAATGAGCTCAGCTTTTCTGAAGCACTTTTTTTTAACATTTTAAAAATTAGTTTGTATTATACAAAGGGGGGATTTATCGTTAACACTTTTACAAATTTATATCTTAGTCTCATCTGAAGCACTTTTTTTTTTTTGGTCAGTCATAGGTCTTAAACTCTGGGCCTGGGTGCTGTCCCTGAGCATTTTAGCTCTACTACTTGAGCCACAGTGCCACTTCCAGTTTTCTGGTGATTTATTGGAGATGAGAGTCTCAGGGACTTTCCTGTCCGGGCTGGCTTTGAACCACTTTGCTCAGATTTGAGGATCTAAGTAGCTAGGATTACAGGTGTGACCCACCAGCGCCCTGCTTCAAGCACTTTTTTTTTTTTTTGTCAGTCGTGGGGCCTGAACTCTGGGCCTGGGCACTGTTCTTCAGCTCTTCAGCTCAAGGCTAGCGCCCTACCACTTGAGCCACAGTGCCACTTCCAGCTTTTTTCTGCTTATGTGGTGCTGAGGCATTAAACCTAGGGCCTCATGAATGCAAGGCAACCACTCTACTACTGAGCCACCTTCCCAGCCCTGAAGCACCTTCTAATTGTATTTTTTTTTTTTTTTGCCAGTCCAGGGGCCTGAACTCTGGGATGGTCCCTGAGCTTCTTTTTGCTTAAGGCTAGTGCTCCACCACTTCCACAGCACCTAAACCTTTCTGTTTATGTGGTACTGAGGAATTGAACCCAGGGCTTCATGAGTGCTAGGCAGGCACTCTATCACTAAGCCACGTTCTCATCCCTAATTGTAATTATTTAGCTAGCTTTTTTTTCTTTTTCTTTTTCTTTCTTTTTTTTTTTGTCAGTCCTGGGGCTTGCACTCAGGTCTGCGCACTGTCCCTAAGCCTCTTTATATCAAGGCCAGCACTCTACCACTTCTGGCTTTTTCTATGTATGTGGTACTGAGGAATTGAACCCAAGGCCTCATGCATGTTAGGCAAACATTCTACCACTGAGCCACCTTCCCAGCCCAAACATCATATAGAATGTTTTCCTTTTTTTTTTTTTTTTGGTCAGGTCGTGGGGCTTGAACTCTGGGCCTGGGCACTGTCCCTGAACTCTTCGGCTCAAGGCTAGTGCTCTACCACTTGAGCCACAGTGCCACTTCCTAGCTAGCTTTTCAAAGGCAAATTGAGATTTGTTTAGTGATAGGCTTCCATAACCTGTTGATTAATGAATATCAGTTCATTTGATTGGCAAAACTTGTGTCTTAACCTCGGTGGTAACTCTGTCAGCCTGCAGTCAGACCTGTCCAGTCTGTCAAGTTACTATGCCTCACTTTTCTCTGCTTATGCTTGATTTCCCATTTGTGTATGCAACTTGATGTTTTATGTTACACTATAAGTACATAAAAGTATTAAATCTTGATTTTTAAAATATCTGAGGTAGCTATCTCATTTTAAATTGTTAGGATTTATATAGAACAGATAAAATTTAACCAGTTTATTAATTTTTTTAACTATTAAAACCTTGTCCATTACAGTGGATTTTCATAAAACCCTATGCCTCTGGTGTCTACTCTCAGCCTCTTCCCCAAGCTGATCTTGGACAGGTTATGACAGAGGAGAAAGGCAGTGGCAAGGGATATAAGATAATATGAAAACACACACCAACTGGAAGAAGGAAGTCAAGAGTGACTGGTTTTGTACTGTTTAGGGAGTTGTTAGCAAATAAGAAATAGAAGATACTATTATTTGGCAGAGTACATAGCACATTCTGTTTAGGTGCATACTTAAGATAGATAGTAGTGCCGGGCACCAGTGGCTCACTCCTGTAATCCTAGCTACTCAGGAGGCTAAGATCTGAGGATCATGGTTCAAAGCCAGCCTGGGCAGAAAAGTCTATGAGACTCTGATCTCCAATAAACCACTAGAAAACCAGAAGTGGCGCTGTGGCTAAAGGGGTATAGCACTTGCCTGGAGCTGAAGAGCTCAGGGATATCGCCCAGGCCCAGAGTTCAAGCCCCATGACCGACAAAAAAAAAAAAAAAAACTATAGTAGTATAAGCTAGATCATAGCGTCCAAGATATGTGAATTTGGAAATCATCTAGTGTACACTACCTCTCATAAAGATGATACTGTGTTTTATAACGGTTTCAAAAGTGATACTCTGTTGTTTTCTGCCTCTGGTTCCAGTTTCAAAACTCTGCTACAACAAGATGTAAAGAAAGGAAGAGGCTATGGAAGCTCATCGGATTCCAGATATGATGATGGAAGAGGGTATGGCTTCATTGATAATAGTTGTTTACTCCTTTGCATCTTTTAATTATTTTCAGTATTTTAGGTAGTGTTAAGACATACGGAAATTAAAGTTCAAATCTCATTTCACAAAATTCATGGATTACTATAAATAAAAGTCAATTTGCCTCCATTTGATAAACAGTTAATCTGGCAAAGCTAAAATAAATATTGTATATTCTATGGGAAAAGTTTGCCCTAGAGGATGAAGATGGAAGGCCAATGTTAAAATCTAGAGATTTTCCTTTGCAATTTGAATTTTTAGCTGCTAATGAAAATGTCAGCTAAAGCAGCACTGGGTGAAGTGGCATTGTGGCTCAAAGTGGTAGAGCACTAGTCTTGAACAAAAAAACTCAGGGTCAGTTCCTAGGCCCTGAGTTCAGGCCCCACTACTGGGAAAAAGAAAAAAGAAAAGAAAGGAAGGAAAGAAAGAGAAAGGAAGCAAGCAAGCCAGGAATTCCTGGATGCCTGGAACCAGTGTCTCATACCTGTAATCCTTAGGAGGCTGAGATCTAAGGATCATGGTTCAAAGCTAGTCTGGGCAGGAAAGTCCATGAGACTCTTTTTTTTTTTTTTTCCACATTTGCAAAATCCCATGAGACTCTTATTTTCAGTTAATCACCAGAAATCCAGAGGTGGCACTCTGGCTGAAATGATAGAGCACTTGCCTTGAGCTGAAGAGCTCAAGGATAGCTCCTAGGCCCAGAGTTCAAGCCTCCTGACTGACAGAAAAAAAAAAATAGCACTGGGCTGGGTCTGTGTTTCCATATTGTAGAAGTCAGCTAGTGCTGCCTTTTGCCTGAGCACTTTCAGGAGGTAGCATAACTCATCATAAGCCTTGCTTCTTGACTCAGTTTCCTCAAGTGTTTTATGTATCTGATCTCTGTGTTTGAATTTTTGTCTAACCTAAATGGTAGTTTCTAGTTAAAGAATCTTTCAAGATCCTGTAGTTGCTGAAAAAGAAGAGTCCAATTAAACACTTAAAAAGAACCAGTTGAAGTTGTGTTTATCAAATAGTAGCTATATAACTTTATCTTTTATTATTAGGCCACCAGGAAACCCTCCCCGAAGAATGGGTCGAATCAATCATCTTCGTGGCCCCAGTCCCCCTCCAATGGCTGGTGGATGAGGAAGGTAACTTAAAATCTGAAATTATTCTGTAGAATTTTATCTTGAAAATGCTTCTTGAGGAATTTTTTTTTTTTTTTTAGGAAAAGAAGTTATATAACATTTAACATTTACTTTATTTGGAAAAAATATGCCTTAACTCTAGAAAAACTGATTGACTGTTTTTAATCAATATCATTTGAGGAAGATTATGTAACAAATAATAGGTTGAGATTTTTATTTTCTCTTTCCCTGTCCCATTCCTTAGACCACTTTAGTTATTAGCTTGCTTCACTCTTCCCTTTCAACCCCCAGGAATTTCATGTTAATCTTTATATACATTTCCAGTGTTATACTAGCTACTAAAGGTTATAATCTCTTGTTTTAGGTAAATGTCTGCTCTAAGAAGCAGACAACTTGACATGCACATTCATAGAAGGAAAAGATCAAGAATGGAAGGCTGATCGTTCTAGATAAGAAGATGAATGTGTATGTCCAAACAAGGATTGCTCTGTGTCCTCACAGGTGAATGACGTCATGCTGGGAATTCCCTCCACAGGGATCTGGCCTGACTGATAGCAGTTCTATAAATACACGTTTGTCTCATCCTTTTTGTATAGTTTATTAAAGTATTAACATAGTTTTAATTAGTAAATCTTTTTAGGTTGCAAAATTTGACTTTGCATCTTTGTATGTAATCTAAAACCTCTAAATCTGAAGAAAATAAAGGCTATACTGTACTGTATTAAAGAACTGTTAGTGTCACCTTTTTTTCAATTTCTGAAATGCTGTTCATTGTTCATTTGTTTTCATTTATAAATAAACTACACTATTTCAGTAGTATGCATATAATAAGTGTGCTTTTGAATTTTTTAATGTATTTGTCCTATGAATCTTTAATACATTGTCTAATTTGCTATCAAACATTATTGTTAGGGTTATAAACTCAGCAAGATCTAGCTTCAAAATGAAGATAAACTAGGTAATCATAGCGGCATGGACTTCAATTCTATTTGAATTCAATACCATTCCTTAAGATTATGCCAATTGGTTTTAAACCCCATCTGAATAGTGATAGCGTTCATGTCTTTTACACAGCAGAAATCTCTATGAGAATTTTTTCTTTATCCAGCCTTTTTATTTTGTTGTTGTTGTTTTTTGAGATAGTGTTGCTACATAGCCCTGGTTGTCCTCAAATTTATGATCCTATTGGTGCTACCCAAGTGCTGGGATTACAGGTATGTGCTATCATACCATCTTACCCCAGTTTCTTGAACAGTGATAAGCACTGGAATCTTTATTGGAAAAATGGATAACACATAATTGTAATGGCAGTGTGCTATAGATGTTGAAACCACTGTTTATGTGAAAGCTGTTTACCATTATCAATACATATTTTATTTTTGGTAGTTCATAGGGCTTGAGTTCTGGGCCTGGGCACTATCCCTGAGTTCTTCAGCTCAAGGCAGATGCTCTACCACACCACTACTTCCTGGTTTTCTCATGGACTTTCCTGCCAGGGCTGGCTTCGAACAATGATCCTCAGATCATGAGTAGCTAGGATTACAGGCATGACCTACCAGTGCCCGGATGCCATTATCAATATTTATTCAATTGTATTTGTGAGGAATAGGGATGTAGTGGCATAAGAGACTTGTGTTCAAAGATTAAGCAATTAAAGCCAGGTGCTGGTGAAGGCAAGCCGTGAGAGTTTAAAAGCATGGGTATGACACCTGATTTTTGTTTGAGGGAACTCATTGGTAATACTTTAATAAGCAGACTGCTAGAAACATAATATTGACAATCTTTGTGATATTTTAAAACATTTGGGCAACTATGTGGAGGACATTAGAAAACACAACTGAAAAGAGCAAGTCCATTGAAAAAGCTGTTGTAGACTGGGCTACACATAAGTGGTAGAGCCTCTTGCCTATCATGCCCAAGACCCTGGGGTTTGATTCCTAGCTCTTGAGAGAAGAGGAATAGTTTGTAGTCATCCAGGTGGTAGTTGTTTACTTAGGCAAGGGCTACATCATTGGATGAATTCAAGGTCTCTTTTTTTGTTTTTGTTTTGTTTTGGTGGTACTGAGGCTTGAACTTAAGGCCTCATGCTCTTGCTTAGCTTTTTTTTGGTTCAAGGCTGGCACTCTACCACTTGAGCCACACCTCCACTTCTGGCTTGTCTGGCTGGATTGGCTTCAAACTGTGATCCTCAGATTTCAGCTTTCTGAATAGCTAGGATTACAAGTATGGGCCACTGATGCCTGGCTTCAAGATCTGTTAGAAATGAAGGATTTCCTAGTGTTTTGGATAGAGACATGGACAACTGAACAAATCAAAACTACACTGACTTGGGGAATGGGAGTATTTGGGGGAATAAAGAGGAGTTAAAGCTGGGTGCTGGTGGCTCATGCCTGTAATCCTAGCTACTCAGGAGGCTGAGATCTGAGGATCATGGTTCAAAGCCAGACAGGGTAGGGGAAGTCCATGAGACTCTTACCTCCAATAAACCACTCAGAAAACCGGAAGTGGTGCTGTGGCTCAAGCGGTAGAGCGCTCACCTTGAGCTGAAGAGCTGAGGGACAGCTCCCAGGCCCAGAGTTCAAGAGGAGTTAAGACCTGTTTAGAATAAGTTTGCAATGTCTTGTCGAAATCCAAGCTGTGATGCCACATTGGTATTAGGTTATCATTCTACATCTCAGGGTAAGGTCCAGACTGGTAATACTGGGAATCATCTTCATAGTTAAGCTGTGAAACTAGAAAAAGTCATCCAATTAATATGTCGGGAGAATTAGCCCCTCAGAACTGAGCAGATGAGCAAAGTATGAGGAAAATTAGATGCATGTGTGGTGCCTTAGAAACCAGAGGAAAAGATAACTGAGAATGAAATGTGATGTCACTTTTCCTCTGGTCCACATAAAGCATAAACCAAAACATCACTGACATTCCTCCCACCCCAGTTAGAATGGCAATCATCAGGAATACAATCACGCACAGATGCCAGCATACATGTGAGTGAAAAGGAATTTAGTATACTGTTGGTTGGAAAGTAAATTTGTTCAACTGCTTTAGAAAGTTGCATGGAGGTTCCTCAAAAAACTAAACAGAACTACCCTATGATGCACCAATTCTACTCTTGGGCATTAGCCAAAAGATTACAAACTAGGACACATTAAAGCCACCAGCACAATCGTGGCCATTGCAACACTAGTCACCATAGCACCAGGGTATCAAATAAGCCCAGATGCCCCTTAATGGATGAATGTTGAAAGGGGTAGCACTAGTCAAGATGCATTGTAAGGGCTGGGAATGTGGCTTAGTGGTCGAGTGTTTGCCTAGCGCTCATGAAACCCTGGGTTTGATTCTCAGCATCACATCAACAGAAAAAGCCGGAAGTGGTGCTGCGGCTCAAGTAGGCGAGCTCTACTCTGAGCAGAAAATCTCAAGGACGTGCCCAGGCCCTGAGTTCAAGCCTCATGACCGACCAAATAAAAAAGACACATTGCATTCATAAACTCTTGCTGAATAGAAACATATATACAGCTACTTCAGGTAAAAACAATATGCTAAAATAAGTAAATAAAGCGCTCAAAAACCAAGTATGACAAGGCTGGTGTGCGAGTCAGGACTAAGCATAGCCACACCCACCCGACATCCTGGGCACTCAGCTCCTCCCGCTCTCCCAGAATCCCCTGGATGACGCCAGTGGCCACCATCTTGGTTATGGGCAAACATAAGGGATGTGGCGCCTGTGCAGTGGCCTTTCTACTCCAAGCTGGGGCTCGCCCTGAAGCTATAGGTTAGAGGCCGGCGAGCGTGGGCAGCCACGATGACCCAAGCCGAGAAGGGGGACACGGAGAACGGGAAGGAGAAGGGCGGAGAGAAGGAGAAAGAACAGCGCGGCGTCAAGCGGCCCATCGTGCCCGCGCTGGTGCCGGACTCGCTGCAGGAGGTGAGACGCCCAGCTCCGGCCCTCCGGGGCGGGTCGGGCCCGGCGCTGGGCTCGCAGGGTGGGCCGGGCCGGGCCGCCGGCTCGCAGGCTCGCGGTCCTGCGCGGCGGAGCAGGCCTAGCAGCCACCGGAAGGCCTCCCGGCCCCGGCTGGGTGCGCGCCAGGCCTGGGCGGGCCCGCGTTCGCTCGGAGCGCCGTGCTCCCCACCCCCTGGGCCTCTCAGCCCGGCCTCCCCGGCCAGGATCTGCTTGAGGTCTGTGGTCTGCAAGACTCCGCGAGACTCAAGCGCCGGCCCGGCTTACTGGGAGCGTTAGTAGGGATGGTTAGAGGTTCCATATGGACCCTTGGTTAGCCAGTCTTGGATAGTGGAAAAAGTAGACTTTTGTCTGCATAGGCATTAAGAGCCTATGTTTGAAAAGCAAGATGAAGTCAGATTAGCCAGAAAAATAATTTACAGGAACACAGCAAAGGACCTTTATTCGTGCATTTGTACATGCAGTCTTACTGATGAGACCAACATTCCCATGGGAAAACGAACAAAGGCAATGCTTAATTCACAGAAGAAATGAAGCATTGAACGCTCAGGAGTTCACGTTAGCCAACTCTGAGCCAGCACAAGGGTTAAATAAAATTCCTAACTGGTAAGGTAGGTGCAAATGCATAGCAAAGTACCAGGCGAGTCTGCTGTGTGGTTATTACCATTGCACTGGGCTGCTTTCTCCACCTGTCTAGTCAAAGGGACAGACTGGATGTCTGTAGAGACCTGGCCCAGGTCCTACCTTCTAAGATTCTCACACTAAAGAGGAACACTTTTGGACCAATACTTGGGGATAATTCAGAGGTTGCCGGAGATAGAGAAGGGAACAGCTTGGAAGAGACTCAAACTTACGAGGGATATGAAGTATTGGAGTCACAGATAGTTGTCCGGATGTCGAGAATTGAGAAAGAATACTAAGGGTCATTGGAGCCTTAGTCTGATCTGTCTCTGTCTCTCTCTGTCTTTCTCTCTTTTTGTAGTGAGTTTTGAACTCAGGGTGTTTGGCTAACTAGGCAATCACTCTACTTCACTCTACTTCTTGAG